AAGCATTTAGCGACTATCGGGGTGAGGGCCACTGGCCGATAGTCATTCAGACCAGTCACTGTAGAGCTTTTTGGGACTGGGATGATGGTGGCAGTCTTCAGGCAGGTGGGAACTGTCTCCAGGGTAAGTGAGGTGTTAAAGATGTCTGCCAGCACCTCACAGTTCTGATCAGCACATTCCTTCAACACTTTTCCGGGGATGTTGTCTGGGCCAGTTGCTTTGTGCGGATTAATCCTCCTGAAGGTACTCCTTACTTCTGCTGAGGTCACGCTGAGATGCTCTTCATCCGGTGGCGAGGTGAGTCTGGTGCTGGGTGGTCTGTTCGTGTCTTCAAAGCGTGCATAGAACTTGTTGAGGGCATCAGGCAGAGATGGGTCTTTGGGGCATTGTTCACTCCTTCCTTTATAATCTGTTATGCACTTAATGCCCCTCCACATGCTCCGAGGGTCTTGTGAGATGAATTGACCCTCGATCCTCTTTGCATATGTGGCCTTGGCCCTCTTAATACCAGCAACCAGCTCTTTTCTTGTCCTACTCAGCTCCTCTGAGTTTCCAGACCTGAAGGCAGTGTTCCTGGCTTCCAGCAGGGTACGCACCTCTGCATTCAGCCAAGGTTTTCTGTTTGGGTAGATGTAAGATGTGTACATTATTGGATTTATGATAACAGGATTTATGCTTTTTAGATTTGGCGGTTACCTGGCATATTGACAAATGCGGAAAAGTACGGCAGCTGTTCTGGTCATTGTGAGGCTGCCTGGCATGAAGGGATGTGCTGAGGATAAGCACTCAAGACTCAGATGCTGTGTGAGCTGAGGCGTAAGCTGGACGTGATTTCTGAGAATTGCAGGCCACTTGCGGCTCCTGAAACTCGCTGTCGGGAAGGAATCAACCTTGGAGAAGCTACAATCTCAGCCCGGCGGTGTGGACCACAAAATTTGGCTGTTTGGAGTCGCCACTGAGACGTACCGGTAGAACTATGAAGGCAGACAGAAATCAAGCAGAGTCCACCTGATCCAAAATAACTGTAATCTGAATCTGGCTCCCCAGCTTGGCCTTGAATTGGCCAACTATCCCAAACTCTCCTGGATCGTATGTGAACAAGAAGCTCTGTCCCCCCCCAACCCCCTTCCCATCCCGAGGACATCTGTGGACCTGTGTCAGAGCTGAGCCAGCTGATACTGCACCATCTCTTATCAGGACTTGGAACTATCTGGCAGCATCCATGGACAACTCACCTCCTTCGTCGGCCTCCTCATGCATAAATGTATGATGATGTCATCAGTATGTTGCCGTTTCTGTGCCGAGGTCATTTTTTGCAACGGTCACACTGTGTCCAGTCTAGGACACAGTGGGTGTGTTTACATGGACATAAGTAACCGGATCAAATGGCCGGTCGGAATAAAAGTGTGTCATGTAAACACTCCGTTCGGGCTATTTTTTGTGTATTCGGCGCAATCCGATATAATTTGTGATCAGAACGAAACGGGTGGTTTACGCCGATCCGTAACCCGATCGGTGCGCATGTAAACGCCTGATATGTTCATTTTTATCTGATCGTGAAAAGCTGACCTGACTGCGCATGTGCGATTTTGCCATTTCCGCCTGGCTAACGCTAATAATGTTAGCATGTCAGGGAAGTAAAACTGGTCGGTGAGCGACAACATTTCTACTAGAAACTTTTAAAGAGCTCAAAATGATTTGTATCACCTGTAGCTCAGTCAGGGAGTGCAGTAACGTCTCCACCATCATTAAAACCTGTCGCGGGTCCATTTTGGGTGCTCAGGCTTGTTTACGTTCACCCGGAAGTAGAACTTCTTCTTCAGTGGTTTTTTTAAGGAGAGTTTACCACTCTGCGCATGTCAGTACTGCTGTTCAGAACAAAGCTGCAGGTAAACGCTCGTCATGAACAGATTGTGCCCATGTAAACAACACATTTGAATTATTCAAACAGAACACATTTCAATCCGCTCAAAGAATTCTGCGCATGTAAACATAGCTAGTGTGAGATATAATTTTTTTCATACCTCCCCTCCCCTCGTGTTTCTCCATTTCTTATCTAAACGAAAAGGGCAGCGCCTCCTGAAAGCCGCGGCCTCAGACACCTCTGTCTCCCCGTGTCTATGTTTTCTCGGACGGGCTGCACTGACATGTATTTTGTTGTGCTTCGGTACAATGACAATAAAGCAGATTCTGATTCTCATTGAATGACTGTTGTGTTACAGAAGTCTTCTTCTGAAATGCTGAACCATCTCCTAAGAGCCAACAGTCCCAGCACGGTAACGTACGTCTGGTAAATCAAAAATCTGATTAGCAGAAAATCAGCCTTGCATCAGAGTTACAACAGATTTAGTGAAGAAAGCAACTTTTTAATGGTGCTGCTTCAGTCACTCACCAGCCTTTCATCTTTATCCTTCAGGTCAGAGGGTAAGTAGGAACCCTTCTAACTAGTCTGCCACCCCTCCTTGCACTGCCAGTAAGTTTGTCTTTGTGTAAGGAACTTTAGTGCACGTGCTTCAACCGATGGCTTAACTGGCTGCATGTGTGAAGATGTGGATGAAAGCGAGCTGCTTGTGGACTCAACACTGGTGCTGCTGCACGGCATCATGCTTCTCCTGCATCCCTTCACTCCATTCTTGTTAGAACGTCACTCTGTCCATGTCCATCCTTTTGTTAGGACGAATGAACTGAATCAGCTTAATTAGACCAACGGTAGTCGGGGCTGTAAACAGCTCAACACTCTGGGACAAACAAACACATGATAAGGATACTCTTCCACAGTGCGGATGTCAACAGCAACAATCTTCGGCTTGCCACCTTTGTTTCGTTTGGGGGGTCCAGCCAGCGAGAGTTCACAGAGGTCGATTAGGTCCTCCGCTGAGATTCTTGGAGACACTTCAGCTTTCAGATCAGACAAAATCAGAGGCTCCCGAGACTACAGGAGAGGAGGCAGGAGACCAAACAGGAAACATCTTTAAGAGACCTTTGAATAGAATTTGAACAATATAGAAATCATTTAGATATGGATTGTCTAAACTGTGTCAGCTGGGGTCCAATACACAACTACAGTAATACTTCCAGTTTACCTGCTCTAGACCGGGAATTGTTTTAAACATGAGCCTTCTAAAACATGACTCTCGAGTCCATTACCTAGTTAAAACCATTAACTAGCCAGGCGCCCGTAGGCTCCTCAGAGCCACTAATGTTAGCTCACATTAGCTGTCAGAAACCACAGGCCGGCTGGGTGACGGCCCGAGGTACACTAAATGCTACAACTAAGTCCCGGTTCACCTTCGACCCGTTCACGTTTCAGATGATGTTTCTAAAGAGTTTTGTTCTGTTTGAAATCACATTTCAAATCAGTTTCCTCCTCTTAGCAACCTGCAACACAGGCCTGCGGGGTCTCGCTCCAAAGTAAGCCTAAAGCTAAAACTAAACCCCCACGTCACCATCAACCCGTTCCTGTTTCCATTAACGTTTCAAATGGTTTTTGTCCCATTCAAAACCACGGTTCAAACCAGTTTCCTCCTCTTAGCTACCTGCTGGGTGACAGTCCAAAGAAAAATAATACTAAAACTAGGCCCTCGGTCAACCACCAACCGTTAAACTCTCACATCGATTTTTCGTGCTCAGTGAGACGCCTGCCGAGGAGCACACTCTTGTTGGCAGCTCCATAGTTCGAAACGTGGCACCTGGGACTCAGACCACAGTCAAATGCATTCCAGAGGCCAGAACAGGTGACACTGGATCTCACCTGAAACTACTGGCTAAACTTAAGACTCAATACAATAAAATTATTATTCACGTCAGTGAAAATGACACTCAGCTACGCAAATCAGAGATCACTAAAATTAATGTTGCTTCCATGTGCAACTTCACAAAAACTATGTCTGACTCCATAGTTTGTTCCGGGCCCCTCCCCAACCTGACCAGTTTAGCTGAATGTCACGTTTCAACCGCTGGACGTCCAGGAGGTGTTCTGAAAACAACTGGAGTGCATTTTGGAGAAAACCCGGTCTGATGTGGAGACATGGAATCCGTCCCACCTTGTGTGGAACAGAACTTCTCTCTAAAAACTGATCTGATCCAGTTGGACATCCAGGTTGTTGACCATTAATGGTCCAGTCTAGAAACCAGTCCAGGAAGCAGAGGTGTAGTCCTCCACCTCTCTGCTGCTTCTCCTCTGTACACCACCCACACCCACATTGAAACAGTGTCAACTCGCCCACGGCTCAAATTAAATAAACCAAAAATCAGCTCTAAAAATATAAACCATAAAAATCTGATTAAAATAAACACAGTTACTTTACCAGAGCAAAATCATAAACTCATTAAATGTGGATTATTGAACATCAGATCTCTTTCCTCTAAATCCCTGTTAGTTAATGAACTGATAACTGATCATCATATTGATTTATTGTGTCTGACAGAAACTTGGCTACAACAGGAGGATTTTGTTGGTATAAATGAATCCACTCCTGTTAATTATTTAAATGTTCATGTTCCTAGAACAACTGGCCGAGGTGGAGGAGCAGCTTCTATTTTTCAGTCAGGATTATTGATTAATGCCAAACCAGTTATTAGTTATGATTCTTTTGAATCGCTGTCCCTCAGTCTTTCTCATCCAAAATGGAAATCAGAAAAGTCACTTTTACTAGTTGTTATATATCGTCCACCAGGAGCTTACTCTCAGTTTTAGTCTGAATTCTCAGAATTATTAACTGACTTATTATTAAATACTGATAAAATCATCATAATGGGTGATTTCAATATTCATGTGGATGTTGGGAGTGATAGTTTAAGCATAGCCTTTAATAATTTAATAGAATCATTTGGTTTTACCCAAAACGTCCGCACATCTACTCATTCTTATCATCACACTCTTGATTTAGTTCTGACCTATGGTGTAGAGATTAAGGACTTGGTAATAGTTCCTCAAAATCCTGTTCTGTCCGACCATTTTTTAATAACTTTGAGTTTACATTAAATGACTACACAGTCACTGAGAGTAAATTTCATCTCAGCAGGTGCTTATCAGAAAATGCTGTAACCAAATTGAAACAATCTCTTCCATCAATGTTTTCCTCTGTCTTGCAGAGTAATGCATCAGAGAACAGAGACTTAGATCATCTAGTTGATCATCTTACAATGTGTAATTTTTTGTGTTGTATTTGTTGCTGCCTCTTGGCCAGGTCTCTCTTGAAAAAGAGGTTTGTAATCTGAATGTTTTTTTATCCTGGTAAAATAAAAAATAAAATAACAGAGCACTTCGCTCTCAGACTGCAGGTTTACTTGTGGTTCCTAGAGTTTCCAGCAGCAGAATGGGAGGAAGATCTTTCAGTTCTCAGGCTCCTCTCTTGTGGAACCAACTTCCAGTTTCTGTCCATGAGGCTGACACATTGTCCAGTTTAAGACTTTCCTGTTTGATAATTCCTATAGTTAGGGTTGTTATGCTGCTATAGACTTAGACTACTAGAGGACAAACTGACCTCATTTCCTTAAATGAATTGTTAAAATTAAATAGTTTTCATTTGATACTAATTTCTATCTTAACATGTGATTCTTGACCTGCCATTGTGTATCTATTCCTACCAAACCCAGCCGGTCGAAGCAGATGGTCCTCTTGTCCTGGTGCTATATGAATGAACTGAACAGAAAATTTACAAGAACCTGTAGTTTATAGTTGAAAGATCTGTACTTTATATGTCGTTTGTCTAAACCAGGTCTCTTGTAAACGAGTCCTGGAGGCTCAATGAGACTAACCTGTAGAAATAAAGGTTGAATTAAAAAAAAGAGTTAGAGAAAGCTGTTTGGACATGAAGTGAAAGTGCATAGTTTTGTTTCAGGTTACATTGTGGGGACCAAAGCCAGGTCCCCACAAGCAGCAGTCTCGTTGGTGGTTTGGGGTGGGACTCAGGCTTTGGCTTTTGGTGGTCGTCCCAAAGTCCAACAGGAGGCTGAGAGGTGACCGAGTGTTCAGTCGCTGGCCCTAAACTGTGGAACGAGCTGCCTCTGACATCACTTCCTGTTTTTAAATCTGCTCTGAAGACTCATTTTTTCTCTTTGGCTTTTAACGCAGCTTGAAATGTTGGTTTTACTGTTTTTAAGTTATTTATTTTATTGTTTTTACTGTTTGCTGTTTTATGATAGTTCATTACTTTTATGGTATCTGCTGATTTTATAGTTTTTTATGCTTGTTTGTGTTGGTGTAAAGCACTTTGGCCAACGGTGTTGTTTTAAAGTGCTTTATAAATAAAGTTGTACTGTATTATATAGAAATGAATGGAAGTCAATGCAAAGTCCCCACAAAGTCAGAAATACAAGACTGTGCATGTGTGCTAGTGAGTGTGCACGTAAAACTCACCAGGTCTGTTCTGGGCATATCCTGGTAGTCAGATGAGAAATACGTAGGTGTTTTTGTGAAGGTGCTGTCAGCAGAAGCCTTTGGCGGCTGAGCGTGTTGTCGATACGTAGCACTCTTTGGAGTCCAGCAGAACAGGTTGATGGATTCACGGACACAGCGTTCAATGTCAATTTCTAAACAAAAATAAACGAAAACAAGGAAAAATACAAAAGTGTTGATGAAACATTCAACAAAGTTATGTCAGGTCATCTGGATGGTTTCTTTTTTTTTTGTTGAGACGTTTCATCCAAAGGACTTCATCAGTCCGAGGAGCCACAAACAAACAGAGTCCCACAAGCAGCACCATCACATAGTGGACCAACCAGTTTGATGGTGGTAAGATGGTTTCTGGGGCCCGCCCTCTCCCCCGCCATCTCGTCTGAAGCATTCAAGCCAAAGTGGTTCAAAACATCAAAGTTCATGCTCAATAACCACGTAGCAAATTCAACAAAGTTCAGTCAGGTCATCTGGATGGTTTCTTTTTTTGTTGAGATGTTTCATCTTTCATCCAAAAAAAGAAACTGTCCAGATGACCTGACTGAACTTTGTTGGATTTTCTACCTGGATTATGGAGCATGAACTTTGATGTTGATGAAACATCTAATGTTGACTTGTCATAGTCTGTACTGTAGCCCAGTGGTCCTCAACCACCGGGCTGTGGACCGGTACCGGTCTGTGGGTCAGTTGGTACCGGGATGTAACTGGGACCCTGCGTACACAGTCTCATTCCACCACAAGTACCACATGTGGTGTGTATGACAATAAAGAAAACTATGACTCTGAATGCAAGCAGACTGGAGACCGCTCCAAAAGCAGGAAGTGGACCGCAGCACAGGGCATTCTGGGTAAATACAAGCAAAACGAACGTGCATTTCTCTCACCACATACGGAGCCGTCAGTCGCTTCATGTGAAAAACATTCTCCATGATATTCTGCCTCATCTTCCTCTCATGATGAGTCCGTTGTTGAAAAATGACAAAACAGAACTCCTAAAACCGCTCAAATATGATGCCACTCCATTTTTATTTTTATTTCTACAAGAAGAAGAAGAAGAAGAAGTAGTGTCTTCTTCAGAGGTTTTTTTGTGTCGTTTCCTTCAGTAGTTCTTGGTGCAGCACCCCCACAGGCGAGCGGGGGAACAGGTTGGTTCACTCAGTGCAGAATGAATGAACCACCAGCTGAAATGTAAACAAATGTTCTGAATACTGGTCCCATAATGACCGAGTGTACTGGACTATCAGGAGTGAACACGTCCTGCATGGCAGTCTCTAGCTAATGCTGAAGGGGAACAAAGCGACCAGCAAGTTGGTCATCAGGCCTAAAACCTTTGACTGTTTTCTTTAAGTGTCCTTGGGTGTCATGAAAGGCGCTTTTTAAATAAAATGATCATTATTATTATATTATTATTATTGTTCTGCTGCTGCTGATCGACTGTTTTGGACTGACGGCCCCTTGTTGCACGTGTAAAGTCAGTTTCTGGGGATTCCACTGCAGACTGGCTGAAACATCAAGGAGGTGCTATTTATAAGACAGGTCTGTGTTGGCAGGCCTCAAACTGATGAAGTCTTTCAGATGGAAGACGAAACATTTCTCCCAAAAAGAAACTTGTCCAGATGACCTGATTTAACTGTTTTTGTACTACCAGTTAATATTCGTACCTGGCAGGTCAGAGAAGAGCAGGATGCATTCGTTGAAGCCGTTAGCCAAGAGACGGTCTCTCAGTTGTTGCAATATGGCGACCCCAATGCAAAAAGGAAATGAAGAGTTCCCCAGCAGCAACGTGTCCCACAGGTGGAAGATTTTGTGCAGAGGGAAAACATCTGCAGACAGAAAAACAGGCAAAATAAAAATTTTACATTTAAATTTAAAAAATTCCACCAAAAGTGCAAAAGCAGATGCAGAAATGTGACGGCACAGTTTGGATATAAACGATCATTTGCACATCCACTGAACCGGAATAGATGGAACAAAATCAGACGGTCAAAACACAAAACTGAGTGTTGGGAAGATCATCTGGAAGCTCTTTTCAAAAGGGAAGACAACCGGGGAAAAGGTTTTAGGTGGGTGGTGTGTCAAAACAAAACCCGGCAGAATCAAAATGAAAAAACCTTAGACGCTTATTTCAAACCAAAGAAAACTGCACTAAAGTCCATGTTCAGTAATCCAAAATAAAAGTGCATTTTGATTTACTGCAGATATTCTTAAACCCGATCATCTCCTCCAGCTGACACTCGTCCAGAACCAGCGCTGTGTTTCTGTTCAGATGGACATTCAGAACATTTGGGATGATATAACTTGTTGCCAGCTCAGTCACCCACGCAGTAATTATCTAATGGGAGGAGCCTACGTATTTAGTTCAATCCTTTTTATGGCCAGGCAGTGCATCTTTGCATGAGCATCCTGTAACGTCCTAGCAGAGCTTAATGACATCTACCTTGAGTCTGTGTTGGTCCACTAGGTTCCGAAATGTCCAAATTACATGATCACACCAATGGAACGTGACGGAGTAAAATCCCTGAGATCTGATCCATTCTGCCCAAAGCATTTGAGTCTGGGTACTCGAGGCACGAACCAAGACATCATAAAGGTAATCAGCACGATCGGGTCCAAATTTGCTGCCGACGACTTCCTTGATTGTTGATAAAACCAGCCGAATCCAAAAAGCAGGAACCAGTTATTGTAAATCCAATTAAATATGCGTCTTTAAAAT